CAAAGAATGGAGAGTAGTGTGGAGAATTTGTATCTGGATATTGGGGGAGTTAAACTCTGGAGAAAGGTGAAATACAAACATGTACCTTCCCACAATCATGAGTTCTCTGACCGAGGCATTTTTACGAAATCTGCCATAAACATCAATGGTAAACAAAGTACTGGCACTGTTGAAGATTGACGTCAAATCACTCATTAAAGCTGCCATCATAACCGCCATCATCAAACCTCTCAGCCCTGGATACGAAACACATATACATTAATTATCACCCAATAAAAGACTTAAACCATGCAAGTACAGTCGAACCTCTCCACAAAGGCCACCCAGGGGACAGAGGAAAGTGGCAGTTGTTGACAGGTGGCCGTTATGGGGGGGGGGGGGGTAATATGACCAATTTTTTAAGAGGGGTAAAACATGTTTATTGTGCTAAGTTCATTCTTACTGTATCCCCTAACGGTAATCCAATCATAAATAGTATAACAGAGACAAAATACACACAAAAAACTTGAACCAAATTTTAACGTGACAGAACGAGTAAGGTTCGCAACATTCGCTATAAGTGTCGTAAGCATTTTATGCTTGCTGCATGCACCTTTTAGGGGTTTAAATTTGTGGATTGGTACGCCATACGTATCAAATTTCATGACCATTCTTGACTTTTTCATCAGTCGCTGAAAAAACTGGCCGTTGTCGAGAGATTATTTTGGCAGTTGGGGACACACTTTTGTAGAGTCAATGTGTTGCGGCTGGGTCCCCTGTTTCCTTGTTTCCCGCCCTTTTAGATCACGTGATGAGTTTTTGTTGTTGTACGGAGTTACTCGATGTATTAGTTGGAGCGATTCACACGAAGTAACGACGTTTTTAACGCTTGACACTGAAGATATATATTCTTGCTTGTACGGATTGCTTTGTCTTGTCCGACGTATACATCCCTGGTTGTACGGATTGGTTTGTTTCGTCCAAATAAACGCCAGTTTACAAGTGAATTTGCACCTTACACAATGTAAGGTGCAAATGTTGTAAAGAGGTGGCCGTTAGTCAATAGTGTTCGACTGTAGTTCTTTTGTATCCAACAGTCAGACACAGGTATTTTAAGATGTCACCTCAAGAAGACGCAAAATAGTTTTAGGCTACGCTCACACGGCGTCGGACGAATTTTCAACCGGATGAAAAAGTTAACTGGGCGGCAAAACACGGAACCGTTCAATATTCTTGCTCAGTTCACACAGATGAACCAGGCTGAATTTAAGCTTTTGTCAATGGTTTTACTTTTCGCCCATGCACAGAACACTACACCCATCCTGATTTTGACGTTCACAATTTTTGAACGGCAAGATCTGATGTCTAAATTTTCGCACAGTTCGTCTGGTACCTTGAACAACAACTTTGTACGTGCAGCGCACTTTGTAGGACTACGACGTGAAACGATCAGTATTGTAAACGACAACGAATTTCTCAATTTTTTTTAAAAAACCTGCATATTTTTCTTCGGAATGCAACTCCAGGAGAGTTGCCTACATTAGAAAAAGTGAGCGGGATAGGATGAACGTGTTGAAGTTTTTAAAGAATGTGAAGCCACTTTTTAAGTTTCGCCACCATGTTATTTTAAACTCCCTATTATGTTAAATACTGTGAGACTGGGCCTGTGGCCTTTCTTATTTATTCAAGTAGACTTGAATGTCTAACCATTTGGAGATGTGACACAAAGTCAGCACAATTTCCTCAATTATCACGATCGGCAGAGGATGCTGGGAAATTGCCCACCGACCCTTCCCTCCATTAAGTCACTGTTAACTACCCACACCCCCCTCCCCTAACCCACTATTAACTGTCCACCGATGTCCCCTTATTTCTTAAAACCTTGAAAGTAATGGTTCAGCAGGAATCAAACCTGCATGAGCCTACAGTTTTTAAGTCTGTTACCCGACTAATTGAGCTAACCATTCAGAGTTTTTGTTCTTACACTATTAACACTAAATGCAATCACTTTTTTAGACCTGTTCAAGTTTTTTTTGTAACATTAAGGTTGTATTTAAACATGGTTGTCACAGCCAGAAGTTGTTGAGATTCCACGACTTTTCTTGACAATTGTTAAATTTCCTTGACCAAATGAGTGTAACAATTTCACAAATTGGTCCTGATAATGAACTCAACCCTCCCCTCCACCCATTTATTTATGCTTTCAGCAGGTCAAGTGCACTGTACAAGAATTGAGCATTGATTTTCTTGAAAACCCAACATCACCTTGTTGTTCAATTTCATGAACAATAATTCTATTAATAGAACACGATTCACGTCCGTAGAATTTTAAATGTTAGAAAACAGTAATCGCAGAGGGAAAAGAATGAATATGTATAGTTGTATTTTTTATGATCCCATTTGTCTCCTTACATTTATTATTTGCAACATGTTATTTACACCATGGAATGTTCTGTTTTTATACCAATGACGATTAAGGGCGACAATGTAGTAAATATCTGAAAGACCCAGTGGAGGCATTTTGTGTTTTCAGTCTTGATTAAGGTAGCTACAAGTATGCACAACAGTAAACTATACAGAGGGGCTGGTATTTCTCACCTGTTGGCATCAGTTTTAGAACAAGTTCTGGATATGCAATGTTGGTACAACCAACTTCACTGCCACAAATTTCCATACATTTCTCTGGAACACTGCAGGCAACTCGGTCTGTCACCAAGGAAAGACAAAATTCATAACTATAGACTTCCAGGGTGCCTTCTGGCTAGAGGGTACTACCTTATTTTATGGTGAGAGGGGCATACGTATCAAACTAGTAATAACAATTGTTAGCTGGGAGCGTAGAGGTCAAAATACTTTTGCTCCAATGCTGTGCTTTGCATAAATTTCATGTGATAGAAGGTCAAAAGGCGCGTGATCAGATAACAAATAATAGAAGACCTGTCTAAACACACATGATCAGATGCAGCATTCTATGCATTCTCTTTTAGTGGAAGTCCAAATGAATGCTGGCTACAAACATGCCACAAATACAAAACAGCAACCTGGAGAGAAGGATTACGGACACAAAAAGCTTAACTTCAGGAAGCACTACATTACAGGTGGCAGTTGTGGTGGCAAAAGCCTGTATGCCCTCTGTATCATTATCCTGTTCAGTGTTCTCTAATGGCATTGGAAATGTGGCGTTTCACAAAAAAAAAGGAAAAACATAAATTTTATTGAGATAGACAGAGATGTAGTTCTCTGCAGATATATAATCTGGAAATGTTTGTTTGTTTTTTACACTAACATCCCATCCCATGCATCATAAACTACTCCCCAAAGCTGACAATGACAGCCCACCTCAAGTAAATTGGGCTGTTTTCCTTTCTTGATAATAACCATACCTTCAAGGCCACCATCTAGGCCATCCTTCCCCCACAAAAGTAATATCGCGGGGATTCCCCTGCCCTTCGCCTACTTCCATCTTAGTTAAGGGAAATTTCCAGTCAGTTCTCCACTTTTATCAAAGCACAGGGATTCTCGTGTCCTTCACCCTCACCCATCATACTAAGGGGATTCCCCTAACCTTTACCCCACTTCCATCACACAATGGGGATTCCCCTATTGCTTACGCATTGTATTGCTATAATTGCATTCTGGGGAATTCTCTGTCCTATTCCAACTACCATCATTTCACATGAGAATTCCCCCAGTCCTTTGCCCACTTTTATTGAACACAAGGAGTCCCTTGTCTCTAATCTCTTTGAATGTTATGTTATAATTCATCTGCGCTGCTTCTTCACTGCCTTACCTGGTGACAAAACTCGACTGATCATCCCTGGCATCACCAAAGTAAAAAGTGGTAGGACTTTAATGTAACCAGCTAACAGACAGCCTCCCTGAGCATGCGACAAACTCTTGGCAGCAAGAGCTCTCTGAACAATAACCTAGGGTCAAGTAACAGACATATTATAGCAAGCACTTCTCCAGGCTAAATGGTGCATTCTGATTGGATGCTTTACAGACAGGATTTTACAGTATGAGGGGAGGGGGTCTTAAACCTGAAAAAACCTCCGGGAGGGGTATGGCCGGGCAAATCCTTTCAGCACCAATAAAGTAATAGTAAATGAATAATATGGTATTTTGGGAAATATCATTAAATAATGCAAGGCAAAAATGTAAATTTGAGATCATATAAAATATTTCACTGAATGGTACAAAACTGACCTGATCAGCACACCAGTACCAAATTGAAGCAATTGTTTGACCAAAAATGAACCCTGCCCAAGGCATGTCGGAGTTGATAGGATCACGCAGCATCACAAATGAGTCTTCTCTCGGCTGACCACAGCTACTGTTTGAGTACAGAGTATCATTTGACACTGCCATCATGTATTTGTCTTTCAGTCCTTCATAACCACCAACTTCAGAAAATCCTGTTACAGCAAAAAAAATCAGAGCAGTGCTCTTTGTACCGGTTCATTCCCTTGGGATGATCCAGATTAGGATCTGATCACTCTGCTCATGGTACATCAAATGAACCCATGGCCAGCAATGAATTCTTTGTCAGGGTAGATTAATTTATTGGTTCCTTTGACATGCTATGATCCAAGGGATCTTGGATCACTGATCCCAATTTGAATCATCCCAATGGAACACACCCTGCATTTTCAATGTAGCATTAGAAAAAGGTGTAGCAACATTAAAACAAACACTACAGTCGACTCTATCTTAACGGACACCTCTATAAGATGGACACCTCTGTAAAACGGACACCTAGAGTTACTCTCTGCCTTTCTTTACTCCCTCTATTTGACTTTCTATAAGACGGACATCTCTCTTAGATGGACAGCTAGTGCCGGTCCCAAAGGTGTCCGTCTTAGAGAGAGTTGACTGTACTACAGGGCTTGAAATAATTTTTCAATCCACAGGCAAAGCTTTGTGAGTATGGTTTCATATATTTACTACTGAAGTAGTTATAACTTCTCTGCTTAGTTTGGTCTTACCGCAGAGGTGGAAGGCCTCTTGAAAAAGTAGGTTTCTTTTAATTAGTTGCACATCTTTTCAGACAAAAAAGCTGATAAAGCAGCTCATGAAACCTTCACTCAACTGATGGGCTCACCCAGAAGAACACAGACACTCAGTATATTAATTATTGCACAGTCTTAATTTTCAACATATCAATGTATCACTTCTCAACACAAAAATTTTCAAGAGCATTTACCTTTCTTTTCTGCTGTAACAAGCTAGTAAACATTAGTGGAAGTTATTTAGTTCATGGCTGATTTTAAAACGGTGAGCAAAAAATTAATGCTAGGATTTCTGTTTCATTTTATTGCAAAACAAAAAAAAAACAAAATCATTACCAATTCCCATAACTGTGAGTGATCCTACAACCATCAGAAAAGTACAAAGTGTGTCTGTGTAAATAACTGCTGTTAATCCACCTGAAAAGAGAAATATAACACACGGTGGGTGGCTCCTCCTAAAATGTTCTGCAATTGCAGGTATAGGATTTAATGGAGCCGAAACCACTTGTGGAATTGCACGCATTTTAGGCATCCTACTGAAGAACAGTTGAGACACGTAGATATATTTTTTTAGCAACTACTATAATTTGCAGTCTGTCTACTTTGAATTGGTGTTGACAGTGTTTTTCAAGCCATTTATTCAAAAATAGCCATCAGCATGCTGCCACCCCGAAGTAAAATTTGAATGTTTGATGTATGATATGATTCCATAATGCAAGTTATCCATTGATATCAATGATCATTGGTCCAATTTAATTGGTACTTCAAACGCAGAGGTGATAACGATAAGGTGTTGACATGTGGGGGAGGGACTTAATAAACCTCTTTTTCCCAAAGATGGCTACAGACGTTCTTTATTTTTCTTTCTTGTGCTCCATGCTCATTGTTGCGCTTCGCCTTCACTCTCACACACTCGCTGATTATCAAAAAGAAAAATAAAGCAACGTCTGTGTACAGGCTAGTGTATGGCATGCCCCCTCATAATTTTATCCCATCAGAAGTCAGTATTCTTGCAACAACATGATTTGTCACAAGACAAGTTTGAACAAGGATTTTCAACTCGTTCTGCAGTTGCACATTTTTGTTGCTGTTTTAATAATGTAGCTTTAACTAAAGACATACCACCTGTTAAGGTTCTGGAGGAAACACTTGAAACAAACCATAGAAGGAAAATTTAACTCACCAGTAATTGTACAGAGGCAGGTCATTCCAAGCATCAACAAAATGGCCAGGTACAGGTTCCATCCAAGAGCCAATCGAATAAACAATGCCCCAGAAAATAAATTGACCTGACGTAAGATACAAAACAGCTTTAGTTTCAGTCAAACCAACCCAAATAAGAGATAATCTTTGCTTCAGTTTTCATCCTCAGTTTTACAGTCAACTCTGATCTGCCCAGCACGGACACCTCTGGGGTTGGCACTTAAAAGTGTCCGTCTTAGAGAGATGTCTGTCTTAAAGAGAATCATATAAAGTGAATACAGAAAGGCAGGAACCAACTCTAGGTATCCATTTTACAGAATTCTGTCTTATGGAGGTGTCCATTCAGAGGCAGTTGACTGTATTGTTGGTACTGTGGAATGCCAACTTACAGATATTTTAGTGAAGATGTACAGTAAAAGGGAAACAACAGACAGCCACATTCTCAGCCTCTTGCCACCATAGCGACGAGAAATGTATTCTGGTAAGGTGCAAATCTACAAAAAGAAAAGGAAAAAATATTGCTATACAATTTGAGAATTAACAGACAGATTCAAGTCAGCACCATCAGAAACTTAATTCTCAACTTAAGGCTTGTTTTCACTATCGACGGAGTCAGTTCATAATTCTTATTAAGTTATGATCTAGTGAAAATAAACAGCTGGACTTAGATGCAACTGGAGTGACAAGAATCAGAGCTTTTTCTTCTGTCTCTGTAGCTTACAATCTAACGAAAACCCCTGACATTGCCTGATTTGGAAGCACAAGCAAAGGAATAGACCAACATCACAATGTTTTCCACAAACTGTGATAGGTAATTTTTAATTAGTACAGTTCTTCTGCTTCTGCTTCTACTTGTCAAGGATCCAACAAGCTACCTCTTACTAGATTTTTAACAGAATTAGAATGCTGTCTTCCTCAATAGATCATTGTAATGCTCTAGGCTGCTGCACTTCTGACTGTGACTCTGACTCCAATGCTTGTAAAAATTAGCCTTAGTGACTACCTGGTTTACATTATACTTTGCTAAAACAGAATCATTTGAGTAGGGGCGTGGCAGTTGCCAACCCACCCAGTTTTAAAGCTCAGACACCAGGTCATTATTACATAAAACGTGGGTTAATTTTGTAGCTGAAAACTAAGCTCAGCTAGTCCATACTCACCCCTCCAGCTATATAGACAGGCAAAAAAACCCAGCCAAGCAACTGAATAACGATAATTGCCTGCAAAGTTTAAAAAAAATAAAGAATGTTTTCTCATTACAGATTAAAAACCCTGCCTTTGAATTCCCTGCTATTGATTGCTTTATTTC